CCTCCCAAGGGAGGATGGCCATGCCGCAATCTCTTCTCCATTCTCCTTTCAGGATTTTGGGCATGCACACGCATGTGTCCAGCGTAAGTTTCAAGTCACTAGGTCTGGGATTTGAACTGCAGTCGACTACTTGGGAGTCCAATGCCTTAGACACTACACCACCTGCTGGCCCTGGGGTTGCCCACAGACGGTGGTCAAATGAGCTCCATGGAGGTGTGGTAACTTGCTCAAGGTCACACAGCCAGTAAGTTGTAAATTTAAGTGCAGTAGTCTGATACAGCCTCATGCTCTAGTGAACGTTCTGGTGTCCTTCTTATTCGGTCTTTGGTGCAGCCTCACCAAGGGGGTTGGCAATACATGCTGCTTCCTCCTTACAGACGGAAATCTAAAGTTCAGAGGTTAGACGTTTACTTCTGCAGGGTCACTTGGCTAACAAAGGCAGAGATGATACCAGAGCCTTTCCCTATTCCGTTAAGTTCATTTCCCTTCATGTTGTTAAATAGGCAACTTTTAGACCTCCCAGAAGTCTGAAAAGTAGATTTTTGTCAGATTCCAAAGCACTGTTTTCTAGCTCTTTTTTTTTCCCCAAAGTCCCAGGTACTTCTTCTCAGCTTTCAGTCAACTCCTCTTTGGGTTCCAGTATCCTCTATCACTTTCCAACCAAATTCCAGGCATCTTCCTCCCGAACACCCAGATCCTTTCCTCATCCACTTTTATTTTTCAAGTTACGTATTTTCCCCATGGCACAATTTTTCTTTTTATTCAATAAGAAAATTCCTTGACCATTTGCCCTAGGAATCACTGAATCTGTACAGTGAAGTGGATGCTCTGTGTGATCCAGAAAAATTTGAAGAGCGAGACAGAGGCATAGAGGCAAAAAACTGGTCATGGGTGAAGGGCTACATGGAGGATCTCACTCCTCCTGTTCTCCACCTTGTAGTTCAAGAAGCCGGGTAAGTATTCTGTCCAGAGGGAGGTTCATCTGCACATTTTAGTTATTCTTTAGCCTTCTATAAAGAGGTGAATGGAGAAGTCCTAACAATTGAGGCTTTAAGGTTGTTTGGAGATAGATGGATCCCTGTAATGTGATGGTGAATCTTTACGTTTATATTCCAGCCACTCCTTGTCCACTGCCTTGCTGGGCTATTAGTTGACTCTGAAGTCTGTCGGATGGTAAACAGAAGAAAGCCAGGACCGAGCCAGCAGGTGGTGTGGTGGCTGAGGTGCTAGCCTCCCACGTAGCTGAACTTGGTTCGAGTCCTAGACCTGGTGGCTTACTATTTCACTTTTCCTCTCTCTGTCTCTCTCTAAAGAATGTGTCCTATATCAAATTAAAAAGAAACCTAATTAAAATAAATACAATAAAATAATTATTTGAAGAAGAAAGAGAAGAAGAGGAAGAAGGAGAAGAAGAAAAACGAAGCAGAAGAAGCAGAAGAAGAGAAGAAGAAAAAAGAAGCAGAAAACCAGGAAAGAGCCAGGAGGAATACCCATGTGTGCTGTTATTACTGTACCAGTTGTGACTTGTCCCACGATACTCAGAGTGGAATGAATGACCTCATATTCCTTTTCTAAATCACATTAGACACAGGTTGGTCTCAATAAGCCCCATGTTC